CATCAAATCCTTAAAGTCTTTATCACAGAGAAACAACATTTATGTGGAGGCTGAAACCTCAAATAGTTGAATTGTAAAATTTAGCTCAATATTTCAAACCCCAAATTTGCCCCTAAGGATTTAAAACTGTACAACATTTAACACCTTCTGTCCTTGGACCATCAAATGTTTTTTAAATATTTTTTTTTAACAAAAAGTATATTCCTGTTTGTTTGTGTTGCTCCTCGTGGGAGGGCAGTGTCAGGCTGAGGACCTTTGGCATTCGCAGGTGGTGTACAGTGAATATCTGCCAGCCTTGTCCATATCACCCACGCCTACCTCTCCCCTCCCACCATGCCTCAGTGGTGGTCAGCCTCTGACTGTCCCTTCTTCTTCCCCTCCTTCTACCATGCCATCCTCCCCAAGGCCTCCACTGTTCCCAGTGATGGTCCTGCGTGTGACAAGCATGTGTGATGAGTCTGTGTGACATGCCATGTGTGTATTTGGGATTTTTGGGGAGTGTGAGTGCGCTTGTGTGTATATGTGTATGCATTTGTGCGTGACACAAGCGCCGGGCCTTCCCTACTACCAGATTGACATGAGTGTCTGTGAGGCTTTGCTCTTTTCAGACGTGCCTCACACTGGCAGTTGGAGTTTATGTGTGTGTGTGTGTTTGTTTGTGTGTGTGTGTGTGTGTGTGTGCCTGCCTGCCTGCCTTCTAGCGCCTTGCTGGAGACTGACGGCCCCTGACACCTGCCATTTGGACGCTTTTCTCTGTGAAAAATGTCATCGTCTTCAGACCCGACGTGCATGTGTGTGTGACTGTGTGTGTGTGTGTCTGTGAGAGAAAGAGAGAGATGGTGCGTCCCTCAATTTGTTTCCCTGAGGTCAAGCTTTGCAGCTGACTGAACAATGGACCCAAGCTGTTTGAGCAGCCGGGACAGAGGAACTTGTGTGTTTGTTTGTGTGTGTGTGTTATTAAAGATATATTTTGGGCTGGTAATAGGTGACATCACAGCTCATTCTAAGGCAATGAAATGAGGCAATCTAGTTAAATACAGACTGAGTTATGCTCACAGAAAATGTCAGATGGAGCCATTACACTATAAATGTGAGTGTGTGTGTGTAATACTCAGGTTCATAACTTGAAAGCTATCTAGATAGCAAGTTTTCAATTCCCACTGCCCTCCTCCATGACTTCATGGTACTGCAGTCTACCTGTGGATAATATGTTTCATGTGATGCCGTATTTGTTTTATATATCTTAGCTGACAACCTGTTAAGAATATTGCAGTTCAGTTTAGTAGATCATCAATTCTACAAAAAAAGAAAGCAAAGCAACTGCTTTCTTCATGTGTTGTATATTCAGGTAGTCTATATGTTGTATATTGAATATATGGATACATATAATGGTACGTCTTATCTTACCTTGGGTATCAGAGATTTTTTATGGAACCGCTCTCGTTGGTTTGGTTTCTGATGTCAGGTGGTAGTGACGATATTTCTCGTACCTCAGATTTAGGCTTTCTCCATTGTATCAGTGAAATGAAACTGGAAAAGCTAAAAAAAAAAAAAAAAAAATAAAAATTATTGTGGTATCCTTCAGTGTTTTTTTCAAAAACAAGAAATCTGCTGTGCGATGGTTCTTCGAGACAAACTGACACGTTGGAGCAATTTTACTTTGTCTGGTTCTCGTAACTCCGTAGGCAGCAACACATTTTCCTTCTGAACAGGGTTTCAGCTCCTTGGCTATTAACTCAATGACCACAAACTTTGCCTGCATAACATTGTTTCTGTCAGAATGTGGTCTTGTGAAAGCTGCTTGTTGGACACAACAAACTCTGCCAAAGAGCAGTGACTTTATCCAAGTAGCTTTGTCCTTGCAACTCGTCCAGTTCAGCAGCATGTTTCCAGATGTCATGCAGTTTGAGATTGGCCTTTTTCATCACTACGACCACATCCCTGCAGGCGCCACACACTTTTTACTTATTTGCACTGGAATCAACCTGAATTTTTAAATTTACAGTCAGGTAATTTTCTTGGTGGTGCATTAATTTCAAATGATATGATTTATTCTGGACAAGATCCTTTTTGAGCCACATATTCACATTCTGTCAAACCAAACATTGCTTCGTTGTATGCTGCTTTGTCACAGCACTGTTACAGTTCGGATGTGAACTTCTGTGAAAAGTCACATTGATGGCTTTCTTAACTTTGGCTTTCAAATTTAGTAGGCATTGATTTGCAGCCCAGTGCCATTGACATATTCATATAAAATAGTTTTCTTTTTTGGCCCTGCTCTCTCTGTTTAACTCTTTCCCTCCTCCCCCGCTCCCCTCCACCTTTTGTCCTCTGTATCAGATTAGTTGGTGATATTATTGCCCCTCTTCTTTTCTGACTGATCTGATAAGCTGTTTTAATTTAGATGAGAGATGTGTGTGCCAGAAGGCTATAATGAGGTATCAAAGTGTGTATCCATCTCTTCCGATGTTATGTGTCTCGAGGGGCAGCGGGGGGGCCAGTCATGGTGTGTGTGTTCGTGTGTCAGGCCCAAGGGTGTGTCTCAGAGACGACCAGCAGGGGAACAGATAGGGTAGCCCGTTTTTGACTTTGCCCCAGGATGGGACAGGGCTAAAGGCAGGCCGGTGTGTTTTTGTGTGTGTTTATTACTAGCGCAAAAGAGTGTGTGAATAAATGATGATTTTGGGACCATAATTTCATCGCTTTACATTAAGAGCCGACCACTGACTTTTCGTGTGTGAAAATGAGTGTGTGTGTGTCCGCACGTTGGCCGTCCACCCACTTTAGCCAGAGAGCTGCGGAGCTGACAACCTTCTGTTAGCTGCCAGGACGATGCCCTCACTATGGCGACAGCCTCGGACGCTGTGGCAACGAGAGCTCAGAGCTGTATCCATGACAGTGCTGTTACCCAGCTGCCCCAGCGGCAGCCTTAATTAAGTTAGACATGATAGGGGCTGGTGGGCCTCTCTTTCTTTTCATTCCCTATTCTACTTCATTTTTGCCTGTCCCATTTCTCCTTTTCTTCCTCTCTTTGTCACTGTTTCTGTTTCTTGAACAACTTGCTGGGATGCTGCCACTGTTTCACTTGACCTCCATTGTGCTTGAGTCTCTGAATGAAGGCAGAGAGGGAGGTTTTCTCTCCGAGCGAACTAACTGAAGGCAGAGTCCATTGGTGCATACGCTGAAGAAAGAGAGCTGCATGAGATCGGAGTAGAGGGGACTTTTTTGAACAACATTCCTGTGTATATCTTCTATGTGTGTGCCTGTGCCTCTGTGTGCGTGCTTGTATGTGCGATGGACTGTGTGTGTGTCAGGGTAATGACCAGCTCCGTGTTGACCTCTTTGAAGGTCATGTGCCAGTGCTAGTTAGTGGCGTCACCATGGCGATATGTCAGCTGTCAGAGCGATGGATAAGGAGCTGACAAAAAGAACAGTGGGGTGGAGGAAGGGATGAATGCAGAGGATGGGAAAGAGGGAGCGAGGACAAGTTCATTTAAATGTGATTCTCATCAGAAGGCCTCTGCCACTCCTCATTAACAAGATACTTATAATTGGCAAGGTTGTTCTGGCAAGGTCCAGGCCTCTGGGACTGTGTGTGTGTGCACACACACACAACAGAGGCTCTCACTCTGAATTTTGCACACAGGGGAGGTGCTGACCCCCTCATCATATTGGTCAGCCCTGAGGAAAAAGCCCCCCTTTCTTCCACCAGTCCGCCCTCTCTCTCTCTCTCTCTCTCCATTCAGCCGAGAGAGCAGAAGGACTAAACAATACGACAGCTCCGTCGTCGGCAGCATTAGTGCGGGTATCACTGGCTTTGTTGTACCACCATCCTGTCTGTGTTGTGATGGACGATAAGCGGCCTACTTTTAACTGAATACATTAACAAACCAATGTTGCCATGCAGAATTATTTTAAATGTCCAGATCAACGTTATCAACACTGAAATTGCCACATAAACCTGAATAATGGTTGCCATAAAGCAATACATCTTTTAAGTATCTTTAAACAAAGTTCATTAATCATTTTGTGTAATTATGAAGGGGCTTTTAATTTATTTCTTCTTGCTCTGTCGAACTTTTCTTTTTTCCACCTCACTGTACAGACAACACGTTTCAAGTTTCTGTTTTTACCCACCTGAATGCTGAATCTTGCTCTATCTTTTGATATTTCAGAAACAATCAGTGTCTTAATCTTGATTAATTTTTTTAAGATCCTGCGAATTGTTTCAGTTCTTGTCCAGTGACTGATGAGTATCAGGCAGTTGCAGCTGTCTGCAGAAACCACACAGCACGCACTGTGGAGACAGACCGATCAAATCTTTGCCTTTCACACTTGCTTCTCTTCACAGGTTGATGCTGTTGCCTGATACTCTGAATCTGCATGTTTTCGGGCAATCTGACAGTGAGAAATTGAGAGTGAATATAGAGTAATATATATATAAAAATCTAGTTTGGGATGTTATTTGTCTTCAGGTCTACACAAGAATGAAGAAAAGCACATTATTATCTCGAGTCTCAATAATAGCAGTACCCCCCAATGACCTCTAGATGGCAAGAGTGTCACATAAAATGCAAGTGCACTGCAGAGGCGTCCTCCCTCTATGTCCTGTACTTAATCTCTCTCTCACACACACACACGGATACATTTGGATTCTGATTATTTAATTGTCAACGTGAAAAAGGTGCATTGCAAAATTATCTAAACTAAAACTCTATTATCTCATTCACTAATCCATCTATTCTGAGTCTGAATGTGTTTACCATTCATATTTGCGCTCCAAGCCAGTTGCATCTTTTCATGACTTGTCACTGTTTTTTTTTTGTCTCCCTTCACCTCCCAGATTTTTTCCCTATGCACCCATGTCTTCATCACTTTCTCCCCCACTGACCACCCTGGTTCTTATTTCCCATTTGTAGAAAAGGGCTCGTCATCTGTCGTCTTCAGCGTTTTCTTCGTCTCACTGGTTTAATTATTTGTCCTTCCTTTTCTTTCCATAGTATAACCAATGAGGCGGGAGCATCCATCTATAGTGTGAGTCCTGAGGCAGTCAAAGAGATGCCAGACCTGGACCCCAACCTTAGGAGTGCAGGTACGCTTGCAAAGAAGAATTGGATTTAGAGATACTTTGTTGATCCGCGGGGGGAAATGGGGTTTTGATACATTCACTCCAGCCAAGAAATATATACATACCAAGACAATAACAATAAAAAGAAATGTAAGAGTATAAAATGCTTGTAAGAAATATGTGCATTGTTGTACAATATGTAAACATACACTAAATACAATAATTCAGTTTAAACAACAGCAAATAACTGGAGACAGGCTGACTTTTCGTGTGAGGGTGATTCAACATTTTATTTGATATTTTTGTCTATGGCAAAGTTACTAGTGTTGTAGAGGGAACTATGTGTAGGGTTACAACTAACAGTCATTTTAATGTAATTACCAAACAGCCACTTATTTCTGTCTGTCAGATGTTATCTTGAGTCCAAGGAGAGCTATTCAACTACATTCAGCTATATTGTTTTCTACAACTTGCAATCAAAAAGCCCCAGGCCATTAACTTGTATTTTGTTCGGCTAATTGCTTAACCGACTTAACTGTTTTACATCTAATAGTTTAATTATCTAGTTACTCTCGTCTCAAAGTAGACACACCCTGTTCTTTTAGATTTGTCACTTAAACTGATGTACTGTAAGAATCAGAGTTTGAAAAGCAAAAGATTCTACACAATACGGGTCTCTGTTAAATTCCTGTTGGATTTTTGGGCCAAGTTAAAAAAAAAAAAAAAAAAAAAGGAATAATACTGAAATCAACATTATTTTGTAAAGGTGAGCAGCCTTAAATAAATTAAGTAGTCAGTTTCCATTTTATTAGTTTATTTCCAACCTGTTACAGGCAAAATACTGTATTTTCACAATATCAGTGAAACTCTGCTGTTTCCTTGTGTCTCCCGTCCTCCCCCTTTTTCTCTCACTTGCCACTTCTCCCCTCACCCTCTCCCCACACTACATCGCTAAAAAACATAGCAGAACAAAAAAAGAATCACTCAGAGTTTTGGAGAACAAATGTTTCCAGCAGACTTCCTCTATAAAAGCCATAAATCACATGAGGCCGGATTATTCCTCACTAGTTTCCTGTGGTCAGCAGCACAGAGAGCCATGAAAAGCCATATTTATACCTCTTATGAAAGCCACGAGAAAACTACAGACTAATGACTTTGCATGGGTATTAAGAGCCAGGATGCTGCTGTTACGGATTTGAATGTTGTGACGGTGTTTGTGTGCATCTCTTTTGCCTTTGTGGACGTTTGAGTGTTTCTGACTCTGTCTACACAAGTTGCCATTCAACACTGTAAGCATGGAACTAGGAAATCTAGGGACACCTGGTGGCTACAGGTAGCATTTCCTCACCTCTGCCTCACCACAGCACTGCACGTCACCTTCTTCCCGTTGTTCAAAGCGATGCCTCCTTCCTCCATTACTGATTTCTTCATTGTTCATGCAGGGCTGTATATGGTTCATAAACTTTCAATAAGCGCTGAGGAGTTATGCTCCACTTCGGCTCCGCTCAGCGACAGAGGGAGGGATTCTCAGACGGAATAGATGGAAAGAGTGCTGGAGAGTTTTGGTGGTGCATTGAGTAAGGCCAGGGTTGAAACTCCATCCCTGTCTAAATATTATCTCAGGCAGCCGCCTCGCACCGCAGCCAGAGGAGAGAGAGGAGAGGAAAGCCATTGATTCCAGACATGCTCCCTTACTCTATCACATCCCATCCTCCTTATTCTCTTTGTCTGTCGGTTCCGCCTCGGAGATCCAAGCCTGACATGTTTCATGCGTCGTGCTACAGTGTCCACCACTGACACAAAATGTAGACTTATAAAACATACGTACGGCCCGTCACAGAAAGGATGGCGGAAAGAATATATTCCTACATTGCAAATAATGGCAATAACACACCCACAGCTGCATATCCTTTGTCTGTTACAGGGATTTGAGAACAGTTGTTAGGTTATGTTGTTCTCCCCCCTCACTGTGTGTGTGTGCCTGTGTGTGTTAAGGGCTGATGTCATGTATTATGGTGTGTGTGTGTGTGTGTG